TTCTTCTTCCCGACGGAGCACGGCCAAGCTGATGTGTTCATAGTGTGCGGTGTCTTCTGTTGACGTTGTTCTCGGGTTCGTATGGAGATATCCCCTTCCATGTGTCCAAGGTGCCGTCGAATTTATTATGGCTGAGCTGTTGGTGGGGTTGGGTCGGAGAATCCGGAGATGGCGAAGATTCATTTGGGATGTGTATCCGATGGGAGGGGGGAAGTGGGGGTGGTAGGACCATTGTACCGGGAAGATGATGAAGATTATGATGGTGCCGGACGGGTGAGGGATATGGGGTGGGGTGGAGAAGAGGGGAGGGGACCGGTGCCCGACCGGTGTATTTGTGGATTAGCAAGGTTTAAGGGGGGGTATCGTCGTGGTGGCCTGGTGAAGGGACTGAAGTCCAGGGGCAGAGAGGGGGCGGTGGGTTTGGGGGAGTCTGGGAAAGGGGAGGGTCGGAGAGGCGGAGGATATATAGCTACCTAGGTGCTTACCTGGGTAGGTATCTTTCACTTAGTCTAGCATGGTTTCTTTGACTCGCAGGAGACGTAGCGGTTGGAGCAACACCAGAGCAGGCTTTATTCTTTTCAGTCTTCGTTAATTCTGCTGGCAAAGAACATTCGGCGTGCTGGTGTGTCATGTGTGTTGCTGAATCCCTAAGCAAACAAGGAACTGCTGCTTCATGAGGAGTACGCATTGCTGGGTCTTGAACATTTTGCCCTCTCCTTGAACGGTTTACTGGGTCTGAACAAATCCAGCCTGTGCAGCAGCTTTGCACTAACCTTGTGTGCTTCCTGAAGTTCTTGTTAGAATTCGCGTGATGCGTTACCGTTTTTGTGGCCGCTGTTATTCCACCACACTGACATTTGCGAATAATTGCGGAGAGCAAAAGCAATCAATGCTCTTGAATCAGGATTCAGGACTCAGGAGACCGCAGAAGTCCGTTGGGGAATTCGTGCTCCACTGTTGCCAAGGATGGAAGGAGCCCAAGCGCAATCAATGCAGAGGTCCTGGGAATGTGGAGATCGGCGGCCACACCTTTGGTCGGAAACTATCCGATTTTTCGGGCTCCTTCCGACCATCGCAGACCGTCGAAACCGAGTCCGACGTGCCAGAGCATGTGCACCATAGGCCTGGTTTGTTGGGAACCAATTTCTGTTGAAGATCCCCGTTAGGAATTATTTCTGCGTTACACGTCGGGTTGCAGCCAATATTGGCATTCCCCCTTCGCCCAAGCGACAAACCTGGCTCGATTCCGACTTTGGCTTCGGCGCCATCCCGAAAATGGCTTCTGAACGCCGCAACGACCGCGGTGACCGCCAGCGTCGGAAGATTCCGTTGGCTTGTGAGCCCTGCCGTGAGCGCAAGTCCCGGTGTGACGGGGCGAAGCCGATATGCTCCACTTGCCAGCGGCGGTCACTCCCACTACATTCATGTGTTTACACCCTCGATAACGCCCGGACGGCAAGCAACGACGCGTGAGTATCACTAGTGTGTTCGGGGTTATGTAGTTGTGGGCATTCTGGGCTCCGCTAATACCCCGGTTGTCAGTTACATCAAGGTTCTGCACGACCGGATTCGGTTGTTAGAGAAAACATGTACCGACCACGGCGTCCCCATTCCACCCTTCGAGTCAGGAGACCCCGGAGATGGAGCTGTGCCGCCGAACCGTACTCCCGTGTCTCCACCTCTCCCCGGGCAGCAACAACGGAGTGAACCCGGCCTCCCGGTCCGGAGCCCGGCTCATGGCCTCCGGGAGCATGCTTCTTCCCCGGCACTGCGCCCTCCAATCCCGGTCACCTCTCCTGACCATGACCGGTTAGATGCAACCGAGTCAACAGCTAGCGTCACTGCTATGGGCACTGTTACCACTGAAGATGATGTGTGTGAGACGTTCAATGGCGCCAATGAGTTTTACGGTAGCTCTTCTGCCGCCAGTTTCATGAAAGAGGCGTACACATCGGTCAAACCACACCAGACGCGCTATCCAGGGACCAACGCGACGAGGGGTCAAGCCTACTCCATGAACTTTGCAAGGCCAGAGCCATTGTGTACCACCCAGTTCGCGCAAGCGGACAAGTTCGCCTTGCCGCCGCGGAATCTCGCCGACCACCTCCTGAACCGTTTCTGGGAAAGGATATATTGGCTACACCCCCTTTTTGACAAGGACACATTTATGCGGGCTTATGAAACATTATGGCAGCCCGCCCACCAGCAACCGGCCATGGCGGCACTACCCGGATTGGGACTCGGAAGCACACCAGGTGCAGATGCAGGGACCATCGTCTTCCACTGCGCTCTGAATACCATTTTTGCCCTTGGCGCCCAATTCTCCGACCTTAGTCTCAAAGACAAGGCCTCGGCAATCGAGACCTTCTTTAACAGAGCCAAGGCCTTTGTCGGTCTAGACTTCATCGATATGAACAATGTCGGTGTCGTTCAATCGCTGTTGCTGATGGCGCTGCTGCTTCAAAGCACGCCGTTTCCTAACCGATGCTGGAATGCCGTAGGCCTAGCGTGCCGTGTTGCTCAGGGCCTTGGTTTGCACACCGACTCTGACAAAACCAATCGGCCTCAGTTGGAAACTGAAATCAGACGGCGAACATGGCACGGCTGTGTGATTTTAGATATGTAAGCACTCGCTGTCTTGTTCCTGTGCACAGACGTATACTTATACCTCGCAGGATCGTCAGCATGACCTACGGACGACCTACCATGACGGCCCACCTGCCTGACCTTCCCGTGCCTTCAACTGCCGGATTTGCGGAATCACTAAGGCCTCCTCAACCGCAAGCTGGGGGCGGAGAGATCCCATCCAAGTTGTCCTATTACGTGGAGTACATTAAGCAATGTCGGATCCTGGGCGAGATCCTCTCCAATGTCTACCAACCCTCTGCCGGGGCACCAGCCAGTGGCCCACAGCCGTGGCCTGACCAAAAGCCGCACGGAATGGACGCCATACTAGAGCTAGACGCAAAGCTCTCGAGGTACGAGGCAGCCCTGCCTCCAATCATGTCTTGGATGTCTCCTTGTGATATTAGCAACCTCGATGAGGATCGCAGATCCGTCATCACTGCACAGAGAACGGTACTTCGGGGAAGGCAAGCACCACGACTTCCTCCCTTCTCCGGTCATACTAACATTCCCCAGCTTCCTCTACCTACGACTCATGCTCCACCGCCCGATTCTCACGCAACTTTGCGCAGAGGCTGGAGCGAACCCTTCAGCAGAGCCGAACTCGCCAACGCGGCCAGGGGCCGTATCAGCTGGTCAAGAATTGTTCACGTCATTCGCGGCGGGGTGTGCTAAGATATGTCTCGGAAGCGCGGTGGACCTCATCGAACTGATCCACAACACCTACCTCACAAAAGCCACGGGGGGGTGGTGGTGGGACGGGCTGTGTATGGCTCCGCACTCCTCTTGATGGATTTATCAAATGCTAACCCCAACTGCGTGTGACCAGACGCCTTCACCGCAGGCTTAGCCGTCATTGTGGGATACCTCTCACCTACACTACTGGCATCGCTTGACAAGCAACGCCTGGAACGCTCTTGGATGTTGTGCCAAAAAATATTGGCACACTTCACTTCCTTCAGTATCTCGGCCCAGAGGTCGCTGAGGGTCCTGCAGAAGGTGCATGCGGATGTCATGTCACGTTCAACGGGTAAGATTCTCATTTGACTCCGGCTTCCTCGATAACACATTCTGATTCCCGGTTCCATAATAGCTGTGTTGGACAAAGACCAAGAACTCCCTTTACAGCCTCCCACCCTGTCCGCCGCAACGGCGTATGGGGAAACTCCTGGCCCGGGACAACAAGCGGCCGCCATGCAGCCCGACGACGCGCCCCTGGATCTGGGCAACAATTTCCAATGGACGTCGCCTGCTGGCAACGCGGAAATGTTTGGGGCGGGATTGGTCTTTAACTGGGACCAGTCGCTCGACATGCTCTCGGGCGGCTTGGGGATGGATATTTATCAGTAGCTTTGTATGAATACCGGCGGGGGCACTCGCCTTGTATTTTGGATACCCTAATATAACATTCTACTTACTTTGAGGGGAAGAGCGAGAACATACGCAGAGGTCGGTGTATAAGGGGTGGGGGTGGTGCACTGGGTAGCGAGGGTGGTTTAAAGGGTGGTGACGGGAGTCAGGACTGGGGGCAGTAAGGGGGGTTGATTAGTTTGGTGGTGCGTGTGTGAAAAAGGAAGAAGACGCCCCGAGATGCCCAAGAAAAAAACAACAAAACAAAAAAAAGAAAACGGAAACAAAAACATACAACACCGGGGATTCGCTGGTCGTCACCGACCCAACTACTGATCCGGCCCTTGCGAGTTTAACTAGGGGAGAGCGGACGGGATCCCGTGTTTTCTGGCAGGTATGGTCGTATGTGATAGGGAAGTGTAGAGTGTGGGCTTTTATGGAAGGCTTGGTGTTGACGTATTCAACCAACAGGAGTGACCGTGCCCGCTGCGCGCGGGCACGCCAAAGGAGCCTGGAGGAACTTTCTAGTTGTTAAGCGTACTTTCTTTTTGGAAGTCTGTGATGTTACAGATTAAAGCTGCTTATCTCCACCTAAAGTTGCGGAGTCAACGATGTAATTGTATTTTTTTTCATTTCATGATGGTTATTTACGAATGCTGGGAAAGTAAGGACAGGGTGTCCATGAGATGGAATGTATCCAGATCGACGGGGCCGGTAAGGGACACACGTGCCGATGTGCCTGGCCAGGGAACCGTTTCATCGGGGTTAGCGAGTCGCCGGGGATAATCCTTGGATGCGTCAGCGTCCTTTGCGAGTCAGTGATGGCATGGTAAACGTGCATACGGTGTTAAACCACCATCACGCGGCATTGCGAGGGTAATTTTTACGGATTGGGGATCGTCTGTCTCCCATCCGTTGACTGCTACGCCTTCGAAGGCAAGTTTGTTCGGGAACAGTCGGGCGGTTATGGTGAACCATTTTCTCTCCCAATCTTCTTCCAGTGTTGTTGCTTTCGGTTCTGTGTTAAACATGGAGAGTATTACCGGTAACCCCGAGCTCTCTTCGTCTTCGGTGCTAAGGAGCTGCGGATAGAGGTCGTGGATGAAGGAGGGTTGGGTGAATGGGAGGAAGGTCCCGGCTTTGAAGTTTCCTGCGCTTGTGTAGCGGGAGCCGGTTGGCAGGATCTCGCATTGGGCCAAGTCGGATTGGTAGGTGACGATGAGGTCTCCGCCAGTCGCGCCTTGGTCTCGCTTGTTTGGTAGTGGGGGTATTGGGTAAACGATGGAGGCGGAAGAAGAAGCCATCGTGACTGCAATGGAATTATAAACAGTAACAAGAGTGACCGTGCCCGCTGCGCGCGGGCCCGCCAAAGGAAGCCTGGAGGAACGGGCCGGCGCAGGTAACCCATAGCGGCATCAGAACAGGAGTGACCGTGCCCGCTGCGCGCGGGCACGCCAAAGGAAGCCTGGAGGAACGGGCCGGCGCAGGTAACCCATAGCGGCATCAGAATATGGTTGGTCGATCAGTTTTAGGACGGTTGACGAATGTTGGGAAAGCAAGCAAAAGCAGTTCTTTGGTCAACCTCAAAAGCTAGTCATACAGCCGCGCCTTCTTTCTTCCCGCTGTGGATCTCTTGCTTCTGGCCGGTTCCGGAGAGCTTGGTTCCTTTCTTTTCTTTGTCGGGGTACTGCTGCTCGAGACGAGTTGAGCGTCCAATAGTTCCTCTGTGTCCGAACCATCGTTCGAGTCATCGCCATCTAGATCAACGGTTAGGTGAGCCGTGGGTCTGGAAGGCGGCGATACATACCTGAGGATGGACCTGTGGGCATCTGATCGGGATCGGCCGTGATCGAGTCTAGCTGTGCTCCAGGGCTGGATGGTGGTTCGGTCGCTTCGCGTTCTGCGGTTTCTGGGGCAATCGGCGAGGAAGATGGATTCTGAGGCGAGGAAGATGGATTCTGAGGCGAGGAAGATGGATTCTGAGGCGAGGAAGATGGATTCTGAGGCGAGGAAGTGGGATTTTGAGCACGGCCTAGTGAAGAGAACGGGTTTCTGCTTGCGACTGCTCCGGGGCCAGCCGATCGTGGTGTCGTTGGCAAGTTGCCGACAGGGTCCGATGATTTCGGCGTGGGCGTATTGTTGGTTGACGGGGAATTCTGCCGAATGAGTTCCCAATTGTCGGCGAGAATCACCAGAATTCGAACAGTAGGATCGACTTTCCGAGAGCCTTGGATCAGTCGCGGTCTAGGACCCCCAGGAGTCGGCCACTGCACGTGATCCACGACCCCTTAGGAAAGGGGTTTGCGGCGGTCCGCATCCACCCGGCCAGAGACTTCCAGGGTTGCTGGTCGACGGGGAAGAGAACGAGGACGTGGCATATGTGTATGCCCTCGCGAGGAGGGCGGTCGTTCTCTGGCTGCAAGTAAGACCCGAGTTTGGCGAACACCAAAGTCTTGACCAGCGGCTCCGGCCAGACTCCTTGCTTGATATGGAAGGTATCTAGCTCGACGGGGCCGGCAAAGGACACATGTGCTGAAGTGCTTGGCCAAGGAGCTGTCTGGTCGGGACCACCGAGCTGGCGGGGGATGACACTTGGAAGTGTTAGCAGCCAGGTTCTGCTTCAGTGCAAAGTAATAGCGCGTACGGAGTCAAGCCGTCATCGCGCGGCAGTGCCAGTGCCACCTGTACAGACTGCGATTCGTCTGTCTCCCACCCGCTGAATCCTACGCCTTGGAATGTGAGTTTGTTTGGGAAAAGTCGGGCGACGATGCTGAACCATTTCCCTTCCCAATCTTCTTCCAGGGTTGCTATTTTCGCTTCGGTGTTGAACATGGAGAGTATCACCGGAAGTCCCGAGCCGTCTTCGTCTTCGGTACTCAGGAGGCGCGGGTAGAGCTCTTCAATAAAAGCGGGTTGGATGAATGGTAGGAAGGTCCCGGTCTTGAAGTTTCCCGCGCTTGTGTAGCGGGAGCCGGTTGGCAGGATCTCGCATTGGCCCAAGTCCGAGTGGTAGGTGACGATGAGGTCTGTACCGGTAATGTCTTGATGTCGCTTACTTGGCACGGGGGTATCGGGTGAACGACAGTGGGATGAGGAGCAGACATGTCGGCAGCAATGGATTCACGGGTTGTCACACGGATCACCACGTGGACGCAACCATCATCAATCGTTTTTTAGAGATCAATGGCCACTCATCGGAAGATGGGAATTCACACGGCCGAGCCTAGGAGGCTATGAGACTCTGCCAATTGTCCTTGTCCTCCTCTTCCCTCTGTAAGTAGGGTTCCAACCCCGTGATATCTCTCTCTGAGCAGCGAGGGTGGCGCCGCATGCAACCGCACCTGGCCTAAGCCGAGTGATCTCTCCGGCCTAGACCGACCGATATCTTGCCACGTTCTGGGCCTTGACCCTCATGTGCTCGGACCTCTTGGTCTACCTTCCAACACGTCATCTTCTCATCGAAACCCTTCATGTATGAAAGACTCAGAATGTCAGATAGCTCCAGAACTTCTCTTTCTCTCTTTATGGACTTCTCGAGGCCATTGAGGATTATTCTTATTAATACATTTGGTTTTGCCGGTTCCCCCGGCAGCTGATTGTTCAAGCCCTGGAATACCAGCCCTTGTAACACGGGTAGTGTGATGGTAATTCACGGGTATTGTGAGAGGGATGGCATTCGGGGAGAGAAAGGCCCTGCGTGGTCGCCACTTCTATACCATGCTGCAGGATCTCCAAGATTCGCCTTTCCGCGGCATGGGATTGCCCAGCCGCGAGGAGATCGACGCGGTATTGAAGGTCCAGAAGAAAGATGACAGCAGCGTGACGGCGAAGATCCAGGGCAAGCAATCGAATCCGTCTTCTGCGCATGCCGGCGAGCCCCACGGAAGCCCACGGTGGCCCGTCCACAGAGGCGAAATATCGCCAGAAGGGGTCGGTCCGGGCGGACGGATGTGGCTCGAGCTCGGACGTTATGCAACATACGTCGATGTGGCCTTGGGCCTCACAAGGCACTGGACTCTGAACAAGCTCCAGTCGATGGCAGTCTTGCTACCAGCGGCGTTCCTCGACTGGAAAAACATGATCATGCTGGTTATCGACGAGATCAGCCAGGTGGGCGGTCTCACGCTCGCGGCGGTGGACAGCCGCCTGAAGCAGTACAGAGACGACCAGCATCGACCGTTCGGCGGGATCCCAATGGTCATGTTCTTTGGTGACTTCTTCCAGTTCGACCCCGTCCTGCAGACCAGCCTCCTCTTGCCAACGCCTAGGGACCCCGGTGGACAGAGACCGGACAGCTCGGCAAAGCACTTAGCAGCGCATAAGCTGTTCCTCCAGTTCGCGAACGTCGTCATCCTCCGCGAACAGGTCCGCGCGGCCGGCTGTGCAAGGCTGCGGGGCTTCCTCCGGCGCCTGCGCAGTGGGGAGCAGACAGAGCTGGACTTCCAGCGGCTGAGCCAACGCCTCTATACACCGTCGTGCAAGTACTCCTTCGTAGATGGCCTGAGAGCCATCACGCCTCTGAACCAAGACCGGTGGGACCTGAACATGGCGGCCGTCGTCCAGTGGGCTCGTGCCCACGGTAAGCACATCTCAGTCTTTGCGGCCAAGCACGATACTGAGTCGGGGAAGCGATTGAGTGCGGGGGACCTATGCCACGTGCTCCGCTACGGAGACGACTCGCAGCTGCCGACCCCCGGCCTGTTCTTCTACGCCCAAGGGATGCCGGTAGTGGTGACTCGGAACCAGTTTGTCGGGCTAAAGGTGGTCAACGGGGCACCTTTCAAGGCCGTCGACATCTTCCCCGACCTCGCAGCCGGCACCATCGCGCTCGCCAACGACGTGACTCTCCATCTCGGGCCACCCGTGGCCGTCCTCCTCGAGTCGGAGGATACCGCCGGTCTGGCCATTCCCGGGCTCCCGAACGGCACCATTTTAATCAAGAGCAAGACGGTCGCCATCCCGAGCCAAATGCGGGGCAAAGAAGGCAGATGGAGGGGCAAGCCAGGTTTCAGGTGGGTTACCCACCGAACGGGGCCTCTCTGCACGCCGGCCTTCGCCATGACAGATCAGAAGAGCCAAGGCAAGCAGTTCTCCAACGTCCTCGTCAACCTCAAAGGCGTCCACTCCAGCGGTACAGCGACTCGACCCAGCTTCATGAGCTTGTACGTGCAGCTGTCGAGGGCGCAGAGCTGGGACGGGCTGCATCTGTTTCGGAAACCGGCGCGTGGCGACTTTATCGAGCCCAAGAATGTGCTCGACAAAGACATGAGGGAGGCCATCCTCAAGCTGGAACGACGGGGCGAGGAGACCAGGCGGCGGTTCGAGCAAGACCACAGGTCCGAGCCGTGGTTTCAAGAATGGGAGGCCATGCCTGAATCTGGCCAGGGTACTGAAACCGATGACGTAGAGGACGCGGCGCTCTGGCGAGACCCTGGGGTTTCCGAGCTCAGATCGTAGCACAGCTCTCCAACGTTGCTCTGTTTTGGAGCTCTTTTCCAGCAGAATAAGCTGCTTCAATTAATATTTTTCTTCTCACCTTGTTGCTTGCCGTGTTGCCCTACAACCTACATCCTTTCGTGGTCGTCAGTGAAGCTGCCTAGGGCTGCGCCATCTCATTGGCTCTTATAAAGCGGGGCCAGCCCCACAGCCGACAGACCCCAACAGACCGTCCGTGCACCACCACTGCCAAGCCCAACTTCGAGACGCTCATCGTCAGAGGTAAGTTCCTCCGGGCAAAACAAGATGGCTCTCCTTCCACAATCGTTAGAATAATGACAGTAAAACTTCACAGTAAACAGGAAAAATGGCACGGCTTTTTTTATGGGGCGTTTGATGGGGCGTTTTATGGGGTTTTTATGGGGCGGAATTGGTCCGTGCTTGGAGCATGGTTTTTCTCGAAAAAGGAACCTTTCGGAAGTACTCGTTCCTCGCACGTTCCTCCAGGCAAAGGAACCTTTCGGAAGTACTCGTTCCTCGCACGTTCCTCCAGGCAAAAGGAACCTTTCGGAAGTACTCGTTCCTCGCACGTTCCTCCAGGCAAAAGGAACCTTTCGGAAGTACTCGTTCCTCGCACGTTCCTCCAGGCAAAAGGAACCTTCCGGAAGTACTCGTTCCTCGCACGTTCCTCCAGGCAAAAGGAACCTTTCGGAAGTACTCGTTCCTCGCACGTTCCTCCAGGCAAAAGGAACCTTCCGGAAGTACTCGTTCCTCGCACGTTCCTCCAGGCAAAAGGAACCTTCCGGAAGTACTCGTTCCTCGCACGTTCCTCCAGGCAAAAGGAAAGAAATTGGTCTGTGCGCTTAGAGCAAGCCATGGCATTTCCGACCTAAGGAACCTGGAGTTCCTCCAGGCACAGGAGTGACCGTGCCCGCTGCGCGCGGGCACGCCAAAGGAACCCTGGAGGAACTTGCCGGCTGCAGGTAGGCCCCATAGCGGAGTCAACGATGTAATTGTCTTTTTTTTTTTTTTTTTCCATTTCATGATGGTTATTGTCGAATGCTGGGAAAGTCAGGAAATGTGGTTTCTTCAGCCAGACTAGCGTCTAATCGTATAGTCGCGCCCTCTTTTTTTCCCGCTGTAGACCTCTTGCTTCTGATTGGCTCCGGAGAGGGTTATCACCCGTTTGGCGGGATCCCAATGGTCCTGTTCTTCGGGGACTTCTTCCAGTTCGACCCCGTCCTGCAGACCAGCCTCCTCTTGCCGGCGCCCAGGGACCGTGGCGGACAGAGACCGGAAAGCTTGGTGAAGCATCTCGAAGCGCACAGGCTGTTCCTCCAGTTCACAACCGTTGTCATCCTCCAGGAGCAGGTCCGCGCGGATGGTTGCCCAAGGCTTCGGGGCTTCCTCGGGCGCCTGCGCAACGGCGAGCAGACCGAGCTGGACTTCCAGCGGCCCAGTCAACGCCTTTATACACCGTAGTGCAAGGCGTCCTTCGTAGACGGTCTGAGAGCCATCACGCCCCTGAACCAAGACCGGTGGGACCTGAACATGGCAGCCGTCGTCCAGTGGGCCCGTGCCCACGGCAAACACATCTCCATCTTTGTAGCCAAGCATGACACCGAATCGGGGAAGCGGCTGCGCGTCGAAGAGCTGGGCGACGTGCTCCGCCGCGGAGACGACTCGCAGCTGCCAACCCCGGGCCTGTTCTTCTACGCGCAGGGGATGCCGGTCGTGGTGACTCGCAACCAGTTTATTGGGCTGAAGGTCGTCAACGGGGCACCTTCCAAGGCCGTCGACATCTTCCCCGACCTCGCTGCCAGCACCATTGCGCTCGCCAGCGACGTGACTCTCCACCTTGGACCGCCGGTGGCCGTCTTCCTCGAATTGGACGATAGCGCGGGCCTCGCTATTCCCGGGCTCCCTAACGGCACCATCTTGATCAAGAGCAAGACGGTCGCCATCCCGAGCCAAATGCGGGGCAAGGAAACCAGATGAAGGGGCAAGCCGGGTTTTCGGCGGGTTACCCATAGAACAGGACCTCTTTGTACGCCGGCCTTCGCCATGACAGATCAGAAGAGCCAGGGAAAACAATTCTCGGACGTCCTCGTCAACCTCAAAGGCGTCCACTTTGGCGGCACAGCGACTCGACCCAGCTTCATGAGCCTGTACGTGCAACTGTCGAGGGCGCAGAGCTGGGACGGGCTGCATCTGTTTCGGAAACCGGCGCGCAGTGACTTTATCGAACCCAAGAACGTGCTTGATAAAGACATGAAGGAGGCCATCCTCAAGCTGGAACGACAGGGCGAGAAAACCAGACGGCGGTTCGAGCAGGACCACAGGCACGAATTGTGGTTCCAGGAATGGGACGCCATGGCCGAATCAGTGCAGGCCACTGAAGCAGCTGACGAAGAAGCGGTTGCGTCGCTCTAGTAGTAATAGTCAACCCATAATAGGTGTCGACCCTGAACACCTCATTTTCACCACTTTTTGACAGAAATTTGATTTCCTCTATCCAAATTGTACATCTAACGGGACAGTATTTAACGTGAAATGTCTCGATATTATACAGTCACAGCCGTACGTCCCCTCCCTCTAGCCTCTCCCCATTTCACAGCCTTGCCAGGTTCCCACCTGTCAACTTTGATGCAGCTTAGGCACTATCCCCAATGCCCATGTCTTCCACGCGGGCAGTGCTGCTATCTGCAATGCAACAAACATGGCAATCCGAGAGTCTGGATTTCTCTTTATCCACGCGAACAACCCACCCGCTATGAGAACCGCAAAGTTCAGAAACCAGAGTCCAAGACGGTGCCGCTTCACGATGACCGGATCCGATTTGCCCTGGGCTTGTCAGCAGGGGTAGCACCTCGCAGTACCAAATGCTAGCTTACCGTGAATTCCCAGTCCTCCCACACCGGGAACAGACTCTCATACCAGCATCGTGCTTGACTCCACGGGTATGTCATGGCATTCCACGCCGTGCCTTTCGGCCCGCGAGTATACCAGTTGTTGCACCCAGTCCAGACCGTGTCCTTCAGAGAGCTCTGCAGGCGGTTCGTCCAATCCTCTTCGGCAGACCGCTTGAGGCAAGCCACAGCAGCATGACCTTCGAGGACAGGTTGGAGGACACGCAACGAGTAGTTGACCGCGTTTTCGATGGCCATGATGGCTGAGGTGTGTCCGGTAGCGGTGTTGGGGCCTGGGACGTGTCAGTAACTATAAGACAACGAAAATGGTCTGAAACTGCTTACCAAGAAGGAAGAACATATTCGGGAAGCCGCTAACAGCGGTGCAGTTGTAGGCCTCGGGCCCGCCGAACGATTCCCAATGCTCCTCGAGCGTTTCACCGCCCCGGCCAATAACCTCGACGCCCTTGAGGTATTGGCCAGTGGCAAAACCATTGGCCATGATGATAACATCGGCCTCGATGATCTCCCCACTCTGCATGCGTATCCCGTTGGCCAGGATCTCGGCCACCCCCTCGTTTGTCAGGGTGAGGTTCTCGGCGTGGAGAGACGCGAGGTAGTTGGTGTCAAAGATCCGCCGCTTGCATCCAATCTCGAAGTCCGGGATGAGAATATCGTGGTACTTCTCCGGCGCCGTCTCCCGCATATACTTTTCCACCTCCCTCCTCTTGTTCTTCCTAAATCTCGCCCCCGCCTCGGTCAACTTGAACCCCTTCCAGTCGATCTCCGCAAGAGCATAGACCAAAAACCGCTGCGCCGTCGCCAACCCGGGCACCAGCCCCAACAACACCCTCGCCGCCTTGGGCATGCGCTTATCAATCGGCGGATACACCCAATGCTTCGACCTCACCACCTGCGTCAGATGTCTCGTCTGCCCCACAATCGCCGGCACGATCTGCGCCGCCGTACACCCATTCCCAAACACCACCACCCTCTTCCCACTCAAATCCACCCCCTCCTTCCACCTCGCCGAGTGAAACACCTCCCCCCTAAACCTCTCCACCCCTTCCACACCCAACTTCCTCGGCCGTCCAAAATGCCCCGCCCCCGAAAACAAAAACCGACACTCATGCACAAACTCCCCCCCACCCTCTACCCCCCTCCCCCACAACCGCCAAACTCCCCTCTCCTCCACCCACGCACACCGATAGACCTCCACCCCAAACACCATCCGCTCCCGCACCCCATAGCTGTCCGCAACCCGCCCCAGGTAGGCCTGCAGCTCGCCCGCGGGGGGCAGCACGCGCGACCAGCGCGGGTTGGACGCGAAGGAGAACGAGTACAGCGCGCTGGGCACGTCGCAGGCTGCGCTCGGGTAGCGGTTAGTCGTCCAGGTGCCGCCGAGGGTGGGGTCGAGGGAGAAGAGGGTTAGGGAGTGGGGTTGGGAGGAGGAGGGGGTGGTGGTGGGGGGAGTTTTGTTGGGGGGGTTGTCGGGGCGGTTGGGGAGTGGGGTGGTGACGGGGGTGGTGCTGAGGAGGGCGTGCCAGCGCTCGAGGGTCGCGCCTAGGCAGATGCCTGAGAATCCCGTGCCGATGCACGCGAAGGTGCTGTAGCTTGGTGGGGGATCCATGTTGGTTGCTGGTGGTTTTGTTGGGGAGGCGAGGTTGGGGGGTTGGAGTTGGTGTTTACGTGGTGGACGGAAGTGAAACGCCCAGATAGGTGGTTAGGACTGAGGTGAAAAACGAGTATTGAGGTTGATATTGCGGGCCGCTGAACTCGGACGCAACCCGTACTCGGAGCTGAGGAGCAAGGATAAGGCAAGGGAATGGCCCTACTATGCTTGGGTTTACCAGGCAGTAGTTATCGCTGTGTTTGGACGACCCATAAATATAGATCAGATGTCAAACTGGGGTCAATATCAACGGGGTCTGTCGGAAGTTTTCCGCTACCTCGGCTGGCGACAAATGCGGGGGTTAGGGCGCTAAGATCGCCATCTGGGGCTGCTTTGGGAACGCCATGGGGCTCGCGGTGGGCCCAGTGGGTTGGTGTGGCAGCCGGAGCGATCCCGAAAGGGGTGGGGAGATTTGTTCCATTGCGGCTTTGAACTCTCAAGATGATGATAGTTGTACGGGCTTCATGAGATCAGGATCCATTTTAGGATATGTATTAGTAGATTGCATGATAGTTGCCCTTTCGGGTTAGGCCCGCCGGGCGGAATAAATTGTGTGTGTGTGTGTGTGTGTGTGTGATGATGATAGCTAGCCAGAATCTGGCATAAACTCGCCGAGGTTAAGGGTCTAGTCAACATCAAGAATACCATGTGAAATGTGCTCGAAGTTGAGAGAACCAACTTCACGGAGGGGTGAATCGAGGCAACACGCCGAATATACGGGGAGGGTGTGGGAAAGGGTCACAGGTAATGGAACATGAAAAAAAGATCCAGACTGGTCGAGAAGATAAAGGTCGAGTTATATTGACAAGTTTACATAGTTATATATCAAGTCAATAAGATCACCATAGATCAACTTAGCGACTCCTATTAACGACTTGAACCCCTCCTGTCTCGTCAATATGCTGCCGTCCTTTGAACTCGACGGCTAGGTGAGCCGTGTGGTTTGCCATGACAGTGTGCATGAACCACTCAGGAGCGGCCCTCTGTGATCAAAGTTAGTAGACGTAGGTAGATACCTATCCATTTAAGGCCAAGGCCCGAAGCAACTTACCAGCATGGCGACATATCTCATGATCCCGGGAAGATAAATCACACTCCCGTACCCGCTATACAGCGCATTGACTATAGCCTCGCTCACCGTCTCGACATGCAAGATCGGTGCAAAGAACTGCGGCTGCGACGGGTTCCCGCTCAGCAACGGCGTCCGGATAAAGTTGAACACTCCATTCGTCAGCCTCACCCTCGGCGCGTTGTACCGAGACCGCAACTCGTTCGCTAAACCCTCGTGCAACGCCTGTATCCCGGCTTTGCTGGCCGAGTAGTCCACGATATCCGGGGACGGCATGAGCGCGCTAGTCGAGCACACGTTGACGATATGGCCGTGGTTGTTCTTGACCATCTCCGGGAGAAACTCCTTTATCAACAAAAACGGTGCCGTCAAGTTCGTCTTCATCGTAACCTCCACATCGGCATACGACCCCTCAATAATCCCAAACCCGCGTACCAGCCCTGCATTGTTGACCAGCACCGTCGGATGGCCGACCTCAGCGCGCACGCGCTCGCACACGGCGCGGATCGCATCCGGCTTGGACAGGTCCGCCTGGTAGTAGTGCAGGTTGCGCCCCAGCGCGCCGGCGGGCGGCTTCCACGAGAGCGGCGCAAAGTCAATAACCACAATCCGCGTGCGCGGGTTGCGCGCCAGCAAGTCGCGGACGATCTGGGCGCCGAGCCCGCCGCTGCCACCCGTGACCACGACGACCTCGCGCTCCCAGTGGGCCCACTCGCCGGGCCGGGAGGCGGTCCAGTTGTTGGCGGCCCATTTGTTGAGGAGGCTGTTGGCCGACAGCAGCAGGCCGGCAGCGCCGAGGTAGAGGGACGCGCGGCCCAGCCAGGTCAGGCGCAGGTAGGCGAGCCGGATGTCGTAGCGCCCGGCGTACCAGAGCGCGCGCCGGAGATAGGCGATGGAGGAGGGCTTGCGCAGCCAGGCGATTACTGCCGCGGTGGGCAGCGCGAGCCACTCGTTGAGCAGGGTGTTGCGGATGATGCGGGCGACTGTGTCGATGTGGAAACCCCCATGTTCGCGCGAGGTGGCCATGTTGTGTTGCGTGTTGCGCGGTATGTACCCGTGTAAGTGGTTCTGGAGGCCGACCGGGTTCAGGGGTCAGGGGTAAGTAAGTGCCACGGCAGTTGTTGGATGTGAAGTGAGGTGAAGGTTCTTCGGCTTCTTGATGCGCCGTCGGCGTGGTTTTAAACCGGCAGTGGTACTTTTTTACTATCAGGTGTCGGAGCAAGGTGAGCGGTTTCTTGCAGTTGGCATCACTAGCGTGTCCGATTTGAGCTAACGAGGTCCTTTTCAGCAGCCAAACTCGGATCCTGTCGGTTCCTGGAGCGGCTTGGCAAGGCTTCCTGGGCAAGGACGGTGCAACCCAAGACCGAAAAGGGGTCGGAACCAAGCCGTGGCAGGAGCTTTGGGGCATAATGGATCAACCGTGGAGGTTCTGTTGGGAGCATCCCAGGAGCTGAAGGACCGTAAAAGGCAAGTCCCCCGCAGCTGTTCACCATCAATCCCACTAGTTCATGTACAACCGTCGTTGCGTTCAGCCAACGGGAGTTTGCAGGAGGAACGCCCAGCGTAGCAATGGTGAGCTTCACATGCATATCAGCAAATCATTCAGCTGTGATGATAAGCCAATGACGATCCGAAGCACTTATGGCTGACCATTACAACAGACATCGCCAACCAAAGCATCAGGGCTCTCCCTCGCGGGAGGAGTAAGCCTGGTTTTCAAACTGGTGTTTTACGGTACGGCTCTCACTCCATCTCCCCATGCTCACTCAGATCCTCACTCAGATCACCCGTCTAACATGGAATCTACCCTGCAGCACCACCCAAGCTCCTCTTCATCCTCCTCCGCTGCTACGCCCTAGCCGCCCGTCGCGGCATCTCCCTCCAACACTGGGAAACTTGCGCCTTCTTCCGCTTCGCTCTCCTGTACCTCACCCCGCAGCAAATCCAATTCCTCACCCCATCCACCCAGCAAAACTACACCACCTGGCTCACCACCCGCCAATCCCGCGCCGCCGCCCAACTCACCAAAACCCCCACCACCACCACCACCACCACCACCACCAACCCCAAAACCGCCGAAGCCGCCTTCCTCGCCTCGCGCCTCCACCTCGACACGGAACCCCTCCCCGACGGCGCCTCCTCCCTCCTCTGGATCGGCGACCGCCACCGAGCCACCAAATTCGTCTACTTCCTGCACGGCGGCGGCTACATCGCGCCCGGCCGCCGCGGGCACATGGAGTGGTGCGCCCGCGCCTACCTGCTCGCGTCGCCCGCCGTTGCGGCCCGTGGTGGTGGTGAGGAGGAGGAGGTTGCGGTCGCCGTGCTGCAGTACTCGCTCGCGCCGGCGGCCAAGTATCCGACCCAGCTGCGGCAGGCCGTGGATGGGTTGGTGCATTTGTTGGGGTCGTCGTCGGGGCGGGTGAGGCCGGGGGGGTTGGTGGTGGGGGGCGATTCGGCGGGGGGGAATTTGACGGCGCAGGTGTTGAGTCATTTGTTGAGGCCGCGTCCGGGGGTGGGGAAGGTGGTGTTTGGAGGAGCCATTGGCCCGGGGCGTTTTTGGTCTCGCCGTGGTTGAGTGCGTCGGTGGAGTGGGCGAGTATGCGGAGGAATAGTAGCATTGATATGTTGTCGACGAGGGCTATGGAGGCGATTGTGGTGGATGTTTTGGAAGGGGTGGAGGAGTATAAGGTCGAGGTGAGGGAGAAGAAGGGGTGGGTGGCGCCTATGGATTTGGAGGATGTTGAGGGGTGGTTTAGGGGGCTGGACCGTGTGACTAAGGCGGTGTATGTTACGGCGGGTGAGCAGGAGATTTTGCTGGATGAGGGGGTTGCCTTCGCGGATGCGGTGCGAAGAGGGAACCCGGGGATTGCTGTGAAGTTGGAAGTGACGAAGCATGAGGCACACGACTGGATCTTGTTTGAAGGCGAGAAGGCACTCGATGGCGATGCAACGCAGAGGATGCGGGCTTGGTTTAGGGGTCTGTTTTGGCCATGATTGATAACGGCCATCTTTACACAAAATCCCCTCTCACAGTTACAGTCTACAAGCCCGTTGGCCGTTTAGTGGCCAATGAATTCTTACAGTTCAAGTACAGAACTTACTATCGTGATCACCGAATTAGCAGGGCAGTGCCGCCATTCTAGGATCCGTGTAGCTCGACAGTCCGGGCACTTAGTCGCAGCTTACGTGGTGTGCCTCCGAGACCCCTTGAGGTCGCCATCCGATTCGTTTAAAGCGCTTCCTGCGTAACATGAGGATTGGGCTCGAGCCCTCTGGATGCCTCAGCCACCGGTGAGATCTTCCCTCTTCACACCATCTTTTCGGAGTCCTGCACCATGTGACAGGTTGACAGCCAAGACAGTGGAATGGGGTGCGAGCCTTGCGGTAGATAATAGTAGCACACATCCACGCGTAATCTAGCCTCTGGAGGGTTACCTGGGATTTTCCATAGCTCCCCCAGCCTCTCCCAACTCACCCTTCGCGGTCTCGATCAAAATGACTCTGTTCTCTTCCCTAACATCTTGTTTTCGGCGTATCATTAAGCGAAATGCGCCATTCTCTCCGCTACATGCATCCCTGATTGCCATCTGCGGCGAGGACGATGTTGCCGTTCCTGGCCATGTGTCGTATGATGACTGGGCAAGGCCGTACAACTGCGACGAATCCGTGGCGGTCGCGCCGGTGGCCATCACTCGGCCCGCCAACGCACCAGAAGTTGCCGAGATTGTCAAATATGCTAAAGCAAATGACTACAAGATTCAGGCGAAATCTGGCGGGCATTCATATGCGTAAGTAGACCATGCACCTCGGCTACCATCCTGCAGAACACCAACCTTCTCGGCTCTAGATGCTGACACGGCGTAGGAACTTTGGTAAGATTCACCCCCCCCGGTCGATTTAGGAGGGAGGCCTCGCAACTCTAACGGCTACAATCAGGTCTCGGTGGTCCAGGCGCCAGAAACGTCATAGTAGTAGACCTTACCCTACTTCGCTCCGTACATGTCGACAAGACTACGTGGAATGCCCACCTCGGTTCGGGCTGTCTCCTCGGGGATGTCACGACCCAGCTGCACGAGCTGGGAGGACGTGCCTTTGCCCATGGAGTCTGCCCTGGCGTAGGCATCGGCGGCCATGCCACAATTGTAAGACCCTCTAACCTCGCTGGAGACGCAGCTCTTCAATCGAGATTCGAGACTAACGACGATGGTCGGAAAAGGGGGGATTGGGCCCCATGTCCCGGATGTGGGGATCGTGTCTCGACCATGTCATCGAGGTAGAGGCCGTTACGGCAGATGGGACTATCTGTCGCGCCAACGAAAAGGAGAACGCAGACCTTTTTTGGGTAGGTCTCTAACGGTGGAACACGCGTGGGGATTCAGAATGTTCTGACGTTTGTCCAGGGTATCCGAGGTGCTGGAGCTAGCCTGGCAATTGTGACCGAGTTCGTCGTACGTACACATCCGGAACCGGCTACTATTGTCCAGTACTCGTATACTTTTGCCTTTGGCGAGCACAACATGGCGCACGTCTTCAAGGCATGGCTGGACCTTGCCTACGACCCTGACCTGGATCGTCGGCTAGGTACCCTCTTCATTATCACCGGGCTCGGAACCGTTATTGAGGCTATTTACTACGGCACTACAGAAGAATACGAGAAGAGCGGCATCTCTAAACGCCTGCCACAGCCGTCAGCTACGACCATTGTTCTCGAGGGGTGGCTGGGCCATCTGGTACAAGTCGCCGCCACGGAGGGCCTCAAGGCGAGCAATCTCTCGATGCCTTTCTATGGCAAGAGCCTGGGCTTTCGCCAACAGGACAGAATCACCGACGAGGCGGTGGACAAGATGTTCCAGTTCATCTCCGATGCGCCGAAGGGCCACCCAGAGGCATACTTCATCATCTTCTCGGCCCAAGGCGGCGCCACCAATGACATGCCCTCGGATGCGACGGCCTACGCCCACCGTGACAAGATCATGTTCTACGAGAGCTACGCCATTAACATCCCCTCGATCAACGCGGATAACAGAGCATTTATCTCAGGGTTCCATAGCCTCATGATGGAGTCGTTATCTACGCCGACGCTGGTCTCGACCACGTATCCCGGGTATGTTGACCTCGATCTAGGGACCGGAGCTGTTTCCGGTCCCGCGTATTGGGGTGACAACTATCCTGCGCTGCGGCTCACGAAGTCCAAATGGGATCCGAGCGAGCTCTTCTACAATGCGCAGACTGTTCGTCCCGTCGATCCGGATGTTTAGTGTTGTGAAGATCAACTTGCGATCCTGTGTGATGGACCAGGGCAGTTTCATATCGGGTGCTAGCGCAGCGTCTTTTACGTACAGCTGTATTTTTGGAGAGTCTGAACTTGCAGATAAAAGACCAAGGTTCTTGATAACGGTCGGGCGGTGTAGAGCGGCGCTCTGAAGATATTGTGAAGCTGGTGATGTGGGTATTGACATTTTGTTCTGCATCAATACAATTAGTTACAGGGAATGACAGCCACTAAAATGACCCTCCATATCTAGCAGTTCAGCCACTAACTAGTTGCTACGCAATTCGCAACTTGCGTGGGGAGTAGTCAACCTCCTTTCCTCACCTGAACGCAAATCTTCGGAATCATCCCGCCTCGATACCCGAACCTTCGCCCCTGGCCCTTGCGCTCAGTCCCCAACTGAGCTTCAGCGCCTTGTTTTCACATGGAGATTGGCAGTGGGGAAGCTTCCAAACCTCGGGTCTCCCTGTCACCCCGCATTGTTTCTTTATCCCCTGACGCTTGATCCCTGAAGTTAACTTAACCCGTCAGGGGTTAGCCAAAAGATCAACCGAAAGTGTTACGAAAAAAGCTGGGGTTCAGGTCACGTCGCGTTACATTCCGGGTAGCGCTCCGTCGACCTGGGAACTCATCGACATCACCTATTTCGATTATCCTTCCGCCGTCCGTGCGACCCAGGGAGTTCGCTCTCCACTTGAGGCTTCTCTTTTCTCACAAAACACCAGAGCATCACCACTACGCCTCCACAAGACCAAGAGCACTCAAAAAATGGCTACTACAACCGAGACCGCGCCTCTCTCGGCACCGGTGCATGTTGAGCTTCCCGACGCGCTGGACATCTTCAACGAGACCCAATGGAAAGTTTTGATGGCCCTCATGGACGCCGTCATCCCGGCCATTCGCATCCAGGAGTCGGGAGAAAACACCAAAGGCCAAGACACATCGATCATTCATCTCCCTAGCAGTGAGTACTCAGACGCAGCCGTCCAGCTACGAAACGCCGCTAGTCCTGGCAACCCTACGCCAGAAACGCTCGAGGCGTACCTCGCCGAGCGGCCCTCAGATAACCCAGCCTTCGCCCAGGTCCTCAAATGCGTCCTCTCCAACGTCCCGCCCAACAAGCAACGCGAGCTCCGCATCCTCCTCTCCATCTTGAAGTAAGCCGCCCCCTCTTCCCACCCTTCCTCCCAAACACCCAACTAACCTCCTTCCCAGCACCCGCCCAGGCAGTCTAATCCTGACCTCGCACGCCACGCCCTTCCCCTCCCTCCCCCTCCAAGACCGCATGAAAATCCTCCAAAACTGGTCCACCTCCTCCCTCTGGTCCCTCCGCACGCTCTTCAAATCCATGAGCACGCTCGCCAAACTCGCCCACATCCGCAGCAGCACCGCCTTCCCCCTCCTCACCGGCTTCCCCGCCGTCCCCTCCGGCTGGACCGCCGGCACGACCTCCTACCCCTACGAATTCTTGCAATTCCACCCCACCACCTCCACCACCAACCCCCCCAACCAACCCCTCGAAATCACCACCGACGTCGCCATCCTCGGCAGCGGCTGCGGCGCCGGCGTGGTGGCCAACCGCCTCGCGCGCGAATTCGGCCCCTCGCTGCAGGTCCTCGTGCTCGAGAAGGGGCGGCACCTCGACGCGCGCCACTTCCCACTGTCGCAGGCCGGCGGGCTGGCCAGTCTGTTTGAGGCCGGCGGGGTGGTGGAGTCGGACGACGGGTCGGTGACGGTGACGGCGGGGAGTTGTTTTGGTGGCGGGGGGACGGTCAATTGGAGTGCCAGTTTGATGCCGCAAGGGTTTGTGCGGGAGGAGTGGGTGCGGGAGAGGGGGTTGGGGTTTTTTGGCGGGGAGGAGTTTCAGGGGTGTTTGGATGGCGTGTGGGAGAAGATGGGGTGTAGCGGGGAGAGGGTCAGGCCGAATCATGCGAATAGGGTGTTGGTGGAGGGGGCGGAGAGGTTGGGATATCAGGCGAAGGTGGTGCCGCAGAATGTGGGGGGAACGGAGCATTATTGTGGGTATTGTACGTTGGGGTGCTGGAAGGGCGAGAAGAAGGGGCCGGTGAATGGGTGGTTTCCGGAGGCGGCGAAGCAGGGGGTCAAGTTTGTGGAGGGGATGCAGGTCGAGCGGGTGATCTTTGAGGAGGGGAAGAAGGGGAAGGTGGCTAAGGGGGTTAAGGGAGTGTGGACGTCGAGGGAGGGCGAGAAGGTCCAGGTTGTGGTCAAGGCGAAGAAGGTGGTTGTTAGCTGTGGAACGCTTTGGAGCCCCGTGGTTCTGATGAACAGTGGGATTAAGGTGAGTAGAGTGTTCTCGAACAGCCGCGTAGCTTGCAAGATACTAACGGCAAACAGAACCCCCAAATTGGCAAGAACCTGTACCTGCACCCTACCAACTTTGTCTCCGGCGTCCTTTGACGAGGATGTTCAGCCGTGGGAGGGTAGGTGCCCTGGACTGTTGCTCATAACTAAACTCAACCGCTAACTCTTCCAGGATGGTTCCCTCACCTCCGTCGTCGGCTCCTTTGAGAACCTCGACTCCAAAGGCCACGGCGTGAAGCTTGAAGCCATGTCCCATGATGGTATGTTCCGCACTTTATCCCATCAGCCCCCTAACTCTAACCCTCCCTTCACCCAGCCCTCTTCTGCCTCCCCTTCCTCCCTTGGGCCTCCGGACTCGAATACAAGCTGCTCTCAGCCAAATACCGCCACCTCAACACCTTCATCGCCATCTGCCGCGACCGCGACACGGGCAGCATCTACCGCGACCCCACCACCGGCCGCCCCCGCATCACCTACACGCCCTCCGACTTCGACCGCGCCCACAACATGCGCGGCGTGCTGGAGCTCTGCCGCATCCTCTACGGCCACAGTGCCAGGGAGATCCACCCGTCCATCGCCGACTTCGCTCCCTTCATCCGCAAGGAGGGTGCGGACGCGGAGGCGGAGAAGAAGGAGTTTGAGGCCTGGCTGGCCAAGCTCAAGGCGCACGGCAATAAGCCGCCAGTGTCGCCGTTTGCGTCGGCGCATCAGATGGGCACGTGTCGGATGAGTGCGAAGCCGAAGGAGGGCGTGGTGGATTCGAGGGGGCGGGTTTGGGGTACACAGGGGCTGTATGTGGCTGATGCGAGCGTGTTTCCTAGTGCGAGTGGGGTGAATCCCATGGTGACGACGATGGCGATTGCGGATTGGATTGGGAAGGGGGTGTGTGAGGATTTGAGGGGTGAGGGCTTTGCTGCGAGGTTGTGATTGTGATGTATGGAGGGGCTACGGCGCGTGGACGGGGCATGTACGACTAGGTGTGATGAAACTGAGACTAGTGCAATGTTTTCTTACATACTATAATAGGAGGAGATATTCAATAACTAACTATCAACTAGGTACTAACTCTCCGCAAGTAGGCACGCGGACACTGATAGTCATGCCACCACCCAACAACCCAACCCCTTGCCCCCTTTTCCACTTCCCCCCTTGTCCTTCTCTTCCCCAAACATCCCCCCATCAAAACATATGCACCCTAGTCGACGAGTGAAACATGGCCGGCAGGAAGCTCTTGTTGTCGTTGATGTTTTCAACTGCAGTCCGTAAGGCCTTTGGCGTCCGCTTCAACACCGCGGTTGCAAGTGTCTTGTCTAGGTGATCCGCACGCATCTCGAACAACTTCTCCGCCACAGCAAGCACGGTGTACTCCCCGAGTGCTTTCGCGGCTATCTTCCCCTGTTCAAGGACCCTGCCAACAAGGCTGTCACTCCCCTCATCCTCCGACTCATCACCACTCCCATCCTCCTTCGCACCCTCACCCTCCCCCCCCCATCTTCGAGATCAAAGTAGGCTTGAGACACTGCCAGTGGTCGGTGTAAGCTCAGCTTCTCCAGATTATCTGGCAATTTTTACTGCCACCATGCGACTTGATACTTGAAGGCGACATTCTGGCTCTGGAAATACTACTCCAGCAAATGAGTCTTATGATTAGCGCTTTGATGTTTATTGTTTCCTTCTTTCTATTGTCTCTTTTTTCTTTCTTTGCCCCCCCT